GGAAGATCTTCAAAATACGGAGGTGGCAAGCATTGTTGTGTAGCCCTAAGTCAAATAGTTCTCCACTGTAAGAAAAACTCAAAATATTTCCAGATAAATTTAGATCTGAGGGATTGGGGAAGTGGAAAAAAAAAAAAAATCACATAAGTAAGTAACATGACTTAAATCTGCTTAATAATCCAGTTTCCAGCAGCTGTTTTCCACAAGAGGTGGGTCTGTGGAAAGGTTGAAGCAAGAATTCTGGAGTACGCAGAGAAGCTGAAACATGTTTTACATTGGGTTCGGTGATAGGGAAGCATTGTGTCTTTTCATGTCCTCTTCTACTAGAACTTTTGTGGTACCATTAGTTGTAATTTTAATTGGTGCAGGTATTTTGTTTTTGTTCTTTGTTTTGCCATTTAAAAGTTGTTATTCCATCACGATGCGATTTTATAATTTTTTTTTTTTTTGGGGGCAGTTTTGCTCTGTCACCCAGGCTGGAGTGCAGTGGCACAATCTCGGCTCACTGCAGTCTCTGCCTCTCAGGTTCAAGTGATTCTCCTGTCTCAAATAGCTGGGATTACAGGCATGTACCACCATGCCTGGCTAATTTTTGTATTTTTAGTAGAGACAAGGTTTCATCATGTTGGCCAGGCTGGTCTTGAACTCCTGACCTCAGGTGATCCACCCACTTTAGCCTCCCAAAGTGCTGGGAGGTGTAAGCATGAGCCACCACGCCTGGCCTGCTGCTATTTTATAATTCTTATACTCAAAGCCAAATATGACTACAAAGTTAAATATTTTCTTCAATTTCCTAGATTAAAAAAAATGGTCACTGAGTATGTGAACTTTGAGGAGTCAGTCTTTAATAAAACTAAAAATTCTCTTTGTGCCCTTTGCAGAAAGGAAAATTTCACTTTGGAAAAGAAATAGCCAAAGTGCCCGACCTTGTAAGTAAGGACTTGGAAATGACCTTGCCTGTAAATCAACGGGCAGAAGTACTCGGTCCTTTCCAACACCCTCTCACCGCGCCTTGCTCCCCTTCCTTCCATCCCCTTCCTAAAAGACATGTTCTTAGTACCTATATTTAGTGTGCTCGCAGCAGTTGGACTGACCTGACAAACCCTCACTTCTCCAAAGGAATGCTGGTGGCTCATCTTGGAAAAATGCATTCCTGTCCTGTGGTCTGAGTCACAGGAAAAGTCCTCAGTCCTCCATCTTCCTTGTTCTTTGGCCTGGTAATTTCTGTCTCTTCTTTTCCTCATCCCTTCCCCCATCATCTTTCAGGAGAGTCTAGGCCAGGCCCCTCCTCTTCACCTGCCTTACCCTGTGGGATTTTTCGGGGCTTTTACCAAGGGACATGGCATCCATATGGAAATGATAGTAACCTGAATCAGGCCAGGCCAGCAGAGTGCCAGCTGCTGCAAAGTGCAGCCCTTGGACCACCCCTTATGGCCCTATGTTGCCTGAGGGATCCTAACTGGACCCTCCTTGGCATTTTTCAGAGTACATGTTAGAAGTTTGTATTTTGCATGGGAAATAACTCCTTACATATGCAGACTAAACAGATGTGTTTGAGAATACCCTGACAATTTTTTGACTTCACATTAGTATCTTTAAAGCCTCCATTTTCATGTTAAAGAGGGAAAATTGTCAATTTGAGTTAGATACACCTAGTGGGTGTGAAAGTTGGCACATGATTTAAAGATATAAGGACTTACTAATAATATTATCTGCTGAATTTGAGGCATGAATGCAAATCCAGCCTGACTGGGTATTGACTGCCCTTTGTACACTGGAATTCCTTGTAATTGGATCTCTTCTCAATGACGTGTGAATGTGGCCATATCAAGCAGTGGCAATTGTGCAGTGAGTGTATTTGGGCCTGTATGGTGATAATATTGGATAAACTGAGAGGCCAAACATGAAATCTCAGAGAGACTAAACTAAAGAATGGAAGTGAGATATAAGAAAAAATGGTGAACGTGTACAGCTTCTTGGCCCTGAACAATGGTGGCCATTTAATGCACATGATTTTCCTTACAAAGTCTTGTTGCAGCTGGTGTGGTAGCTCATGCCTGTAATCCCAGCACTTTGGGAGACTGAGGCAGGAGAATCCTTTGAAGGCAGGGGTTCAAGACTAGCCTGAGCAACATAGCAAGACCCCATGTCCGCATACACACAAAAAATTTTTTTAAGTCTCCTATTAAGTGTGGCGGTGGGGGGCAGGCACGGTGACTCACGCCTGTAATCCCAGCACTTACGAGGCGGGTGGATCTTGAGGTCAGGAGATCGAGACCATTCTGGCTAACAATGGTGAAACCCCATCTCTACTAAAAAATACAAAAAATTAGCTGGGTGTGGTGGCAGGCGCCTGTAGTCCCAGCTACTCGGAAGGCTGAGGCAGGAGAATGGCATGAACCTGGGAGGCGGAGCTTGCAGTGAGCCGAGATCGCCACAGCAGTCCAGCCTGGTTGACAGAGCGAAGACTCCATCTCAAAAAAAAAAAAAAAAAAAAAAAAAGGCAGTTCTCTCCTTCTGTGAGAACTAAATTAGATGATAGACATATATAAAGCAAATAGTACTTTACGGTGGCAAAACCAATGATAATAAATGTAGGGTAGCTGTTGAGAGCAACTTCTGTTTTTTTCTTTTTTTTCAAGAGGAGTCTTGTTCTGTCACCCAGGCTGGAGTGTAGTGGCATGATCTTGGCTCACTGCAACCTCCGCCACCTGGGTTCAAGTGATTCTCCTGCCTCAGCCTCCCGAGTAGCTGGGACTACAGGTGTGTGCCACCATGCCTGGCTAATTTTTGTATTTTTAGTAGAGACGGGGTTTCACCATATTGGCCAGGTTGGTCTGGAACTCCTGACCTCTGGTGATCCACCCGCCTCGGCTTCCCAAAGTGCTGGGATTATAGGCGTGAGCCACCGCACCTGGTCCAGGGTTTTTATAGCCCTATCTGTCTACTAGAAGCAGCAGTTTCTTCTTTTTGGACACTGAACTTCCAGATATGACAGGGATGCTTTGCACACTTAGATTTTCATGGAGTCAATAAAACCTTAGCTTTCCGTGAAAATGTTTAAGAGACATTTGGGAAACATGTTTTTAAAAATTTTAAAGTGAATTTAAATGGCATTGTGTTTGTTGTGCAGTCTCTCCCTTTAACAAACCCACACTTGTTGGGTTAGCGCCTGCCAAGCTTTTCTCCAGAGGAGACCCTCTTAGGCAGCCCTGCAGTGCCGCTCTGCAGCATTGCTTCTCATCTGTTGATGCAGTTGGATCTGGGGAGAGACGCAGCAATTAGCTGTGCTGGAGAGGGCTGAGCAGGCACAGGCATGCACACCCACATGTATGCCCACGGACATGCATGCGTGCACACACACATGCATGCTCATGGATATACACATACACTCAGGTTCACCAAGCCCTGTCCCTGATTTGACCCTGCTTGCCTTGCTGCCTGCGCAGTGGTATAATGGAAAAGTCTCTTCTTCACATCCGCCGCTGCCCTTCCCCCACCCCAGGCTCACTTAGCAACAGTGGAATGAAATGAAGGTCACTGTGTGTCAGTCGGTGGGTCCGGGAGATTCCCAGCTGGCTTGCTTCCTGGTAGGCAGGTATGAATGTATGCTGCCGTTCTCTCTTTTCAGGTTCTGGGTTGCTGTTTGTTTAGCTCTGAAGTATAGATGGCTCAGTGCTAGCAGACACATTTTCAAAGGCTTATATTCTTGAGTTGTTGATAACCAGAATTGGGCAGGAGAAGTGGGGTGGATGCAGACCAGCTGACCACACTGGCACCACCAGCAGTTTCAGTTTCATCTTGATTGTGAAGAGGAAGTATCTAATCTGAAAACTTATTAGGGGCCTGGCGTAGGGGCTCCTGCCTGTATTCGCAGCAATTTGGGAGGCCGAGGCGGGCGGATCACCTGCAGTCGGGATTTTGAGACCAGCCTGGTCAACATGATGAAACGCGTCTCTACTAAAATACAAAACTTAGCTGAGCGTGATGGCAGGCGCCTCTAATCCCAGCTACTTGGGAGGCTGAGGCAGGAGAATCACTTGAACCCGGAAGGTGGAGGTTGCAGTGAGCCAAGATTGTGCCACTGTACTCCAGCCTGGGCAACTAGAGCAATACTCCATCTCAAAAAAATAAAGAAAGAAACAAAAAACCCATTAGGGTTCAAGCCATTATCATTCAATCTCAGCTTGATGAAGTAAAATTCCTGAGAAGTCATTATGTCAGTCTCAGAATACCTAATTTTTTTCCCCCCACACTACCTCATACTTGTATTGCTGTCTCTCACTCACATTTCAAAGGGGAAATGAGAAACATTTGGCTTGTTTATACTTCGGAGGGATTGTTAGTGCAAAGTGCCAGTAAGGTGTTTCCGGTTAGAGTGCACTGCTTTGTAATCTCTCAGCTGACACGATGTATCTCTGTACACCCAGCTGTCTCTCACTTTCCCTCTCCTCCTCTCTTCCCACCCTCAAATGGATCCTGTCTACCTGATCCCAGAATTTGAGGCTCTGGATGAATTAGCATTGGTGGCAATTAGATTTCCAAAAGCTACTGCCCAGCCTTATGACTTGGTAAAGGGTTTGTGGGGGGAACTGTTTGGCTTCAACAACTCAACTACCCAGGTAGTGATTTATTTCTAAAGACAGGGGTACAACTAGCCAGTCATCTCTTGAGTAGACAGGAAACCTAATGATTTACTTTAAAATGTTCTTGGAGCTACGGAAAAACAGATTTTACTTTGTATGCCCATTGTACGATGAGTAAGCAGAACAGAGACCTGATAAATAGGACCAGGTAACAAATCTGTGGAAGCGCTGGTGGGCGGTGGGTGCAGGGAAAGCTGGATTTGTGAAGCTTCATTTAAGGATTTTTTGCTGCGTTCGCCCAAGGGTCATAGAAAGTGGTGTGGAAAGAGCAGTAGCCTGACAGGTCCACTTCTATCATAAAATCTGATGGGGTTATTGGACTGGTTGCTCTTAACTGTTCGTCAGTGCTCTCATGCTAGTAATCTGATGACCAGCTGGTCTGTCGGATGCAGCCAAGACTAGTGAGAAGCTGGGGAGATGAAGGGAACAGGGATATATCCTCCGGTAGCTTTTTCCCACATACATGCATGAGTAGATCTTACCAAATGTCATGTGGAATGCAGTGTCTTATTTCAGGATATTACTTAACAAATGTTATTTTTTCCCCCCACACTACCTCATACTTGTATTGCTGTCTCTCACTCACATTTCAAAGGGGAAATGAGAAACATTTGGCTTGTTTATACTTCGGAGGGATTGTTAGTGCAAAGTGCCAGTAAGGTGTTTCCGGTTAGAGTGCACTGCTTTGTAATCTCTCAGCTGACACGATGTATCTCTGTACACCCAGCTGTCTCTCACTTTCCCTCTCCTCCTCTCTTCCCACATATACACATACACTCAGGTTCACCAAGCCCTTTTACCAAGGGACATGGCATCCATATGGAAATGATAGTAACCTGAATCAGGCCAGGCCAGCAGAGTGCCAGCTGCTGCAAAGTGCAGCCCTTG